AATCCTTGGTGAAGAGAGGTGAGGTGAGGTGAAGTAAAACCAGAGCTCAGAGAAAGACGGCACTTTTTCTTACACTGGATAGATTCAGTCCGAGTTAATTTGACGGAGTCTCACAACAGTCGCATTAAACTACATAGCTCCCAAAATATCACCACCCCTAGAGTGCTTTCCCATCAGGCAACTGGAGGATAAGAGGCAAAGAGAGATGTGGGAGCGCTTTCCTGAAATCTAGCTCATCCTCAAAGAGAAAAAAAACAAAAAAAAAACGATGGAGGACGGAATGATAATTTATTTCTTTTGCCACTTTCTTGTGCTTGTACCTTATAGCTCGCTTCAGCTGGCAGACAAAAAGCCGTCCAATCAGAGAAATTCACCCACATAAATAGAGAGAAGGGAGGGAGGGGGGGGTGGGGGGGTACTGGATCTTATTATGCAGACAGAAGTCATCCATCACACAGGTGTTCCCTATTGCTTTTAATTAATGGCGTCTCAGTGCGAGTGTCTGCACACCACACACACACTCTCACACCCACACGCCAGCACCCATTCACCTGTTTGCTATGTGGCCATATTATTCACCGCTAATGAACAGTCTGATCGCTGAGTCTGTATGACTGTTATGATGATCACTGAGCCTGTGTGCGAGCGTTTGCATGAGCACCAGCGCACAACACAGTGGTAGCTAGCGTACAGAGAAGCAGCACAAACGTCTATGATAGATAGGTTGTACGCACGCACACACAGACACACACACACATCCACAGACGGGCCGTGTGTCCTGTGATAGTGAGTGAGTAATACTCTCCATTGTGCACATATTCATAAATGTAAATGTTGTTGTCCTAAGTGGGGCTGGGAGACAGATAGGTTTGTGTTGCTGTCGAGGGGGTGGTTTATTGGCCTGCTTAATCCTCTCATCTGCGTGTGTTTCCCCCTCTGTCTCGCTCTGTTTTTCTCTCACATACACACACACACACACACACAAGCTCGGTGTGTGTTATGGTGTCAGATGTGAGAACTCAGTGTATGGATCAGGGCATTGGCCAAGCGTCATCATTATCATTATCATTATGATGACCCTTCCTCCCACAGCTCTGGCATGATTCAACACAAGAACTATCTGTACGCCTGACTCTCCTCTAACACGTCCTGTAGTATTTCTCTCTCACTGTCTGTCTCTCTCTCTCTCTCTCTCTCTCTCCTCACATTCTTGCATTATTCTCTCTCGTCCTGCGTGACGTGTCTCTGCACACGCCGATGAGCCGGATGAATATGAAACAAGTTCCACATCAGCATCGATTACCACACATACGCATGTGCATTTTTATGAGGAGCAAAAAATCTGCTTGCGATAGCCGGAATCATTCCAGTAGCGTGCATTGAGGTGACAATGTCATTGCGACACACACACACACACACACACACACACACACACACACGCACACGCACAAATAAATGCAAACACACACCAAGCTACAGTCTAGAAACGGTTATGCTTTTGTTTATGCGGAACGTAATCGCCCCGAAAATATACAACTGATAAATTAAGAGATATGACCAGATATCTATTATGCAAACCAGTTAACTGGTGCGTTATTAGATTACATGCATACACATACACACTCGCGCGCACATACACACTCACAGCAGTGGTTAATTGCCAGGTGGTGGAAGATAATGTGTGATTTAACGGACTGATGGATTTGTTTTTGTTTCAGTCACCCATCGATGAGCAGAGACATCTGTAAGAGGGCAAACACACACACACACACACACACACACACACACACACACACACACACACACATACACTAGTTCTCAAACGCACACACCATCATACACACATTCATGCCCAGGGATATCAGTGACGAGTGACTGATAGATAATGGCAACAGACTTTTTGCAAGACACAAACGCGAGAGATGATCCATCTTCTGAGTGTAAAAAAGTATGCAGCAGGGGCGTGTGTGTGTTTTCTGGCGCGTGTGTGTGTGTGTTTGTTGGCGTGTGTGTGTGTTTGTGTAAACCAACACGCTCATAGATTTATGTGTGAGCACATGTACAGTTATAAGCGAGGACTCGTGTGCCTGTGTTGGAAGCAGTTAATCCACGGTAACGGTTTCAGCCTGTCTCTTGTTGTTGATGAGTGGCTCGGGGTCAGAAGCTGGTTGAGAGACTGCAGGGTCCCGAGGCTTTACAATGTGTTTACCACTCACACTGACAGCTATACTACAGCTTATTATTGGCCTTCTAAACCTCCACACAGCACTGCGAGTTAGAGAAACTCCAGAGACGCAGATTGCCAACGGCTAGCGACACGATGGCCAATCCTACTAATGTCGAAATGGTGTCGAGGGCAGAGATTAAAATAAATGGCAGAAATAGGATCTGTGCTTGTCTTGGAAACGTGTATTAAAGAGTAAAATAGACAGGTTATCCTGTAGTGTATCTGTCTTTTGTGAGCCACTGCCCATGGCCCCTTTGTCTCCTAATTCAATAACTAGGCTGGATGAAAAAGTGATCCCCTCTCTCACAGCTCATACATTGTCACTGTGTCTGTGTGCAGTGAGAAAGACGAGAGAGAGAGAAGGGAAGATCAGGGATGAAGCAGGTCCACTGAGATGCAGTGTTCTTTAATTAACCACAGTGTTGTATAAAAGACACACATACACACACACTGCAGGGGCTAAGAACATTCTGCCACTGGGATGAAAAAAGAGATATTGGCAGTGAACGTGTGAAGAGAAGGAGACTGCAGGGCTCTGCAAAAGCACTAAGGTCCAGGACAGTCGGGTTAAAGGTTAGCCTGCTTCAGTCTGCTGTAGTCCTCCCAATGCTGTGTCTGAATAACTACCAGGAGATTTTTTTTTTTTTTAACTTAACAGCAAATAGTCAGACAAAGCAGCCAATAAATAACTCCATTAAGGATGTGTTTTTCCCAGGTTAAAACTGCTCAAGTTGAGTCAAGCTAATAGTACCGTTGGGCACGGGTTCACCTCTTCTCTTTTCCTTCATGCCTTCAAGCGTTTTCTCCACATTTGATCTAAATCAACTTCTGTCTGCGATATGAAAACCGAAGGTGGAATTACATTAGCATTCATTATTAAATTACTACAGAGCAAAGAAGTATAGAGATTGAAAATAAGCACCCTCCACACTGAGAGTTGTAAAAAAAAAAAAAAAAAAATCAGCTAAAACGCATTAGCTGTAACTGTGCATGAAATATTAGTTTTTCTACAAAGTTTCCAAACGATTTTCTTACATTCTCGGAAACTAATATTGTTTACAGTATTGTACCACATCCAATAACTCCCGCTTAAATTACTTAGCATCCTGTTAAATTATTCTGCTGTGAGGAATAAATTGACTTTCATTTCATAGTTTTATTTCTTGCTGTAAACTAGCATCACTGGTCTAGAGCTGTTGGGGGATCACAGAACCATTGATCTTCCTCCTGCACAAACAACAGCATATTTTTTTTTGGGGGGGGGGGTTTGATTGTTTACGTCTTTAATAAGTGAAGTCATAAAATCGGAGTCGCTTTATGTCAGACTGCACATCTTTGGGGCCTAATAAAGTCTGCTGAGGAAGTAAATACCACAAATAGTGGTGCAAACAAAGTGTTTCGGGGGAGCTTCCACATAGACGGGATGCACTGCATGAAGTGGAGGGGAAAAAAAGGAAGGTGTGTGTAAGTGTGTGACTTGGTTTGGTTACCTAGTAAATCTACAGTTGAGGGTTGCATTTTTTTTACAATTAAAAATAATTACTGTAAATACTGGATGACGTGACTGACTCTCTGAATAGCTTACTAAAATATAATTTAAAAAATTGTTATATTTCACGCCTAATCAGTCATTCAGGTGCAAATAGACAGTTTTTATTTTGGGTCGAAAAGAAGGTGCATGGGAATTTACTAAATGAAAAGTGGATGCATACAAAAGTCAATGATAAAACAGAGGAAATCAAACATTATTCAGGGGATTTTACATTAAATTGTAAAAAAGAGAGATAAACCTACAATGTGCTGCTGCAGACTCACGCTCCATTCTTAAGGATCCAGCAGCAGAGCCATGGACTTACACGGACAGTATTAAAAAGAGAGAGGAGGGGGAAAAAAGAAGCTTTTTCACTTGAATCAAGATAGGGGCGAGAAGCAAAGGATTAGGAGGATAACAAAAAAGGCCAACGGACTGAGTGTAAACAAGAAAGGGGGTTAGAGAGGGATAGAAGGAGAGAGCAAGCTGGAGAGAGCAAGCTGGAGAGAGCAAGCTGGAGAGAGCGCGAAGGAGAGATTGAATAGTGACACTGCTACAACACAATGGGGTCAGGATGAAGAAGTGCTCCTAATTGAACCAGATAGAGGAGAGGACAGAGAAAGACTGAAAGGGCAGAGTTACATGACAGAGAGAGAAAGAAGATGAGGAATCACGTGTGATTCTCATGTCCATGTCTTTCTGCTTCTTCTCAATGCAAGGCTAAAGGTAGAAGCAGATGTAGAGAAAAGGAGGGAGGTAATTGAATAGAGTAGGTTGCATAGATTGATGTTTGACTGACAAAACAGAAACTAAATATGTCCGGCTAGTTGTGCAAGTGAGGGTGTTGAAAAGATGGTTTGAAACCACCTTGACTGCACAGTGGGAGTCTGACAGGGCAGACTCAAAAATAGCTTTACCCTACAGAGAAACACGAGGAGCCTTTTTAAATAGTTTTTGTGGACATAAATAATTGCTTCCACTTGGAAACATGTTTTTTTTTTTTTTTTGTTCATAAGAGACAATAAACCAAAGCTAATAACTGCTTCAAACCACTGAAGAAATAAGAGAGTTAACCTGACAGTCTAGGCTCAGGGAATAAGGACATTTTCATCCCCTTTAACAGGTGGAGAATGGAGAGATCAAAGGAAACGGCATATCCACACTCACACACACACACACACTCACACACTCACACACACACACACACACACACACTGATACACATTAGGAGCGGGGTCTTACTGTATGTTGGAGCTGTTCCAGTACACCGAATGCCTGTTGGCTGAAACCTGGCTCAGGTCCGCCCAGGTGAGACTCGTTAGCGCCCAGAGAGACAGCACCACCAGAGCCATGCTCCCGGCTCCACTCTCGGCCTCCGTCCCTTGGGGGGGGTCCCTCTCTCTCTCTCTCTCTCCGGCCACTCTCTCGGTCCCTTCACCCCACCAAACAACGCGACTCAAACATCCCAGCAAAAGCCTAGCAGAGAGACGGGAGAGGGTGGAACAACAGCTTTCAAGCTAGCATACAAACAATGCATTTGTTCAAAGACGGTGAGACTCTCTGTGGTTAATAAGTGTTGTAAAAACTCAAAAGTCTATTGTGGTGTTAAGTTACCGTGGGTCCCTTCTCCCACCCCCCCCCTTCAAAAACCAGAAACTGCGTACCCCTCACCCTCCCTTGCTCCCTCCCACACAAATCCTGGGGCTTCAAACAAGGGGCTTTCTGGGGAGTCCTGTTCCTCTCTTCTCACCGGGAACTGCTGCGCTTGAGCCCGCCAGAGAAGTGGAGTGGGGGGGGGGGTATCTGGTCCAAGCAGGAGGTCTATCGTCCTCCGTGCATGTGAGTCCTATCCGCTGGGAAAGAGTTGTTCTCTGCTGGCGTGTAAAAGCCTCAATGTGAGAAAATTAGTTGTAGACAAAAAAAGAAAATAAAACATATAAAGAAAGTCCTCTTCTTTCAAATGAAAATTGTTCTTGCAATGGGTGGCTGCTGCAGCTTTTTTTTTTTCCTTCCAAGGATCCGAGAGATGCAAATCACGCCGTGCTCAATTACCGCTGCAACCCATTCAACCAAGCCAGTTTTCATGAGGTCTTCCAAGACTCTATCCGAGGACCATCGCTTACGGTGAGCAGCCTGCCCACCCGTCTCTCTCCTCTCTCTTCCTCTCCTCCTTCTCCTCTTCTCTCTGTTTGGTAGGCAGCCCTCGTTCACTTCCTAACTCCGCCCCCTGCGAGCGACAAAAGCGCATTCCTCCAATATCGTGGCCGAATCGCAGCACATCAGGCATCACTGCGACTTGAAGTTTTTTTTTTTTTTTTTTTTTTACCTCCTCGTCAACTATTCGACCTCCTCTTCCTCTCCTGGTGTAAAAGTAGAAGCTTTGAGTCACCCCCTCTTTGTCAGATACGTCTGCAGCCACCATCTGCAGTCTATTTTTCAACGTTACATCCCCCTTTCTCCACCACCACCACCTCCTCCTCCTCCTCCAGCCACATATGCACGCACACTTTTGCATTTTATCACAATGGATAGAAGAAAAAAAAACAGCCATTGACTCACACACATACACACACACACACACACACACACACACACACACACACACACACACACACACACACACACACACTCACACACACACACACACCATATATTCCCGACTACAATCACCCTTCCTGGCCTGGATCCCCAGACAGTGTAAGTCAGTCTAATACAACACTAATGTCATGCAAAATCCTCTTAAAGCTGCAGCACATTAACACACACATACCCCCCGTCATGTAATCTCCACCATAATGAATATACAAGCTGTATATTACAGTGTGTTAAGCATGTTTGCTGTAATGTCCTAGTGATTAATCAAAGTTATTGAAATCCCCTCAGTGGATTATTATTATTGTAATTAATCCTATACATTTATTTTAAATCTATAGCAATTCAAATAGAGTTATAATTCATGCAAGTGAGACGTTGCTCGTATATTTTTCGAAGCTCAGAGACATGGTAAAATGTTCAGTCATTTGCCCCAGCTCAGTCACCTTCGCTGCTACTAACTGCATTCAAGGTGTGTGTTTGGTAGAGAGAGAGGGAAATAAAGAGAGAGAGAGAGGGAAGAACAGGCCAGACAAGGCGAGAGACAGAAGGAGAGGATAAGAAAAAATAGAGTGATAGCCGATAGGAGAAAGATTGTTACAGTTTTCTTGCCGCCTGCTGGGAATGAGTTGGTTAAGGAGAAGTCAGAATGATTTATTGGGAGAAAAAACGGAGGGAAATAGGGAGAAGGAGAGCAAGAAAGAGAGAGAGATGAGATGCCATTGGGGAATCCCTCTGTCTTCTCCAGTCGTTCCTCTCCTCTCATGAGCTGTCCATTTAATCCCCTCTCTGTCTGTCTGTCTCTTTCTTCCTCTCTCTCTCTCTACTTCCTCTCCTCCCTCACCTTATTCTCTCGTTTCCAATGCAAACTTTCTCCTTTCCGCAACCCCGAAACCTGGCTCTGCTATTTTGCCTCCGTCTTTTGTTAACTTTGTCTCTGGTGGTCTACCTGTCTCCTCTGCCTGTGCCTCTCTCTCTCTCTCTCTCTCTCTCTCTCTCTCTCTGTTACAGCAGGCATGCAACTTTTTAATGAGCACTCCTCTTGTGCCTCATCTCGCTGCGTCTCTGTCTATCTCTTCTCTTCAGTTTCTCCATGTTGTATCTCTGTTTATCACTACACTGCATCATGTAGTATCACAGCAGCTCAGTCAAACAGCTGGTACTATTAAATATGCATCCCAAGATATATGCATGTGCATGTGAAAAATGAATCACACTCTTCTCTTTCTGCCCTTAAACAGTTGGTTCACCCAAAAAGCAAAAATACATATTTTATGATGAAAAAGGAGGACTACTGGTTTATGTGCAGATGTGCGCAGATGGTATTGTTTGTTTTGCTGCCATTGGAATAAAATACCATTCATGGAATATCCGTTTTGGTGATCAAGATACAGACTATCAGGGCTAACTGCTCAATGTCATTTTTAGTAGGCTACACTAAAATGATATTTTTTATCGATCTCCACCTAACGCCCAGCAATAACTTAAAAAAACATTTTTATTTAAAGAAAAACATATTATACCCCTTTTCAACCTTTTCAAACAGTCCCCTGTGGTCTAAATGAAACATCTGTGCTGTGCTTTGGTCAAAATATGACATGAATCAAGCACCAGAGGAGGTTTGTGACTCTGTATAAACCAGATGTCTCAGAACGCTCCGTTTTGGTGTGTGTCTCTTTAAATGCAATGAGCCCCCCCCAAGTTTTCTCGGTAGACATCACTCCTTTGCTACCTAGAATAAAAATGGCAGACCTGAGCAAAAGTTTTGCTCTAGGCTGGGGGTGGAGAGGAGGGTGTGTTTTTTTTAACCAGAATTTGAAACAGAGCATTTTTCTCTGTGTTGTAAGACTTATGCAGACTACAAAAAAAGGACTTGGTGGATTTATATCACATTTTGTGGGTTGGTAGACGCTCAAGTTACCCAAATATATGTTCAAAAACACTGTCAAAGTGGATTTTTCATAACATATCCCCTTTGATGTTCCACTCAATAGGCTTGGGAGTGTGACCTTAAGATAACTTTTGCTACCTCACAGTGGGCTTCAATATGGAGATGTGGCACAAATGTATCAACAAGTGTTGGGTAAAAGATGAATCAATATGAGATTTTATGTGACTCCTGTCAGGCTTGCAAAGATGCCTGAAAGTGCTTTTGATTTGTGTTGACATAACTGAGGCTATCTTGGGTTGAGTGCTGTGTACTGTTTGCTGTAGGCTATATGTTTAAGTGCCTCTACAATGGTTTGTTCACATTTTATTATATGTTAATGTTACCCCCCACCACCACCACCCCAACCCCCACCCTATGTGTTATGTTTTGCTTTTGGTGGGTCTTGATTTGTTTGTTGTTGGGCGGGTTTGTGTGTGTTTGTTTGTTTTTCTTTTCTTCTTTTTTTTAGTGAAAATAACATTCCAGATCAAAAAAGCAAATTCATTTATAACATATACAGTATATCACAAAAAGTTAAACTAAAGGTTCCTTAACTTGCTTGGCTGAGCTCCCAATCCTATCTTGTTATTTTCTAAAGTGAATAATATATGACCTGTAGTGTAAAGAAAGCTAGTAAACTTCTCTTAAACCACTTTTGATCATGCAGCAAATCTGTCACATTTGAGAACACATGAGCAAAACATTTTCGATGAAGATGGCCACGGAAAATGGTCAAAAGCTAAAATTTTCAAAAGTAAAATGATTTGATCAAAAACATGTGTTTGCCGGGGCTCAGTGTGGTAGAGTCGGTCTGCTCTCGACCGGAAAGTTTTGGGGTTCGATCTCTAGCTCCTGCAAACACATGTTGAAGTGTCCTGGGGCAAGACACTTAACCCCAAGTAGCCTCTGAGTGGCATAGCATAACAATGCATAAAAAAGAGATTAGTTAATACTGATGGGCACTTCATGTAGCAACCTCTGGTATCAATGTGCCATGGCTGTGTAAATGAGTGAATGTGAAGCTGTAGTTTAAAGCAGCTTTGAGTATAGAAGACAAGTAAACATCTAAACAAGTCCATTTACCATTATTTAAAAACTGTTGGCAAAAACCATTCCGAACATAGTGGACCACTTCTGAAAGCTCTTAATGTTGTCTTTAGTAGTAGAAGTATAAACAAGTGACTCAAACACTTCAAAATAAAACAAAAAACTTTTTGCATGTCTTCAGACAGAGAAAATGTGTTTTCACCGTTAAGCTGAACTGACCTTTCCAGTCTCAGACTACGGAGGAAAATGATTCTCTCTCTGGAGATTTCAGTGGGTCGGTTGTAGATACATACTGTTTGGTAACACTTGAATGGAAACTCTAAATCAGGGATGAGAAGAGACATTTGGATATGACACCAACGGAAGCGGGTACTTGGTCCTTTTTGAATAACAAAAAATGCCACTTCACGCTTTTCCATTTTTGTTCTTTTGAAACAGACGCTGACATGTTCTGTTTCAGCAAACGCCGCTGTCAATTCTAATCATCCAGGTTGGATTTTCCAGGCGTGGGTTCTGGTGCTATTGGATTACTTTTGTATTGGGGTTATTATGAGAAACGACCTCGGGGCTGACTGCATGCGGTGACACCGAGGCTCTTATGACATTTCCAACCCAGAGCGGCCAACAACACATCTGTCAAGTGCTCCTTTCTGCAACCTCGAAATCTAATCGGGGCTTTCTCATAGCACTGATAATTGGATATTAGGCTCCTATAGGAGACACATCCCTCTCTGGGGCCACAGACAGTGAACAATGCACACATGAATCCTGCAGGACTCTTGCATGTACAAACATCATGAGAATACAGTAAACACTTTATTATTATTTTTTTCTGTACTCTTGAATGTGTGCTGCATTTCAATGGCATTCTTGAACTCCGAGTCTCTTTCTCACTCCGCCTCCCGCTCGCTCTGTGTCTTGGCCTGCTTCGCTGTTCACTGTTGTGTTAGTAAATTGTACTGACACTCCCCCCGCCCCCTCTAGCTCCCTCACCACCTCCGCCGCTCACCCTCCCTCCATGTCCCTCTCTCACCCGACTGACTGACACGAATTTTCAATCTCTCTGTTTACCTTTCACTGCTGTGCCTTAAAACAACACTGGTATGGGGGCTAAGAGCGAGGAGGAGACTGGGGGAGGAGGGTTGGAGAAGGAGTTCAGTGCAAGGGAGCATCAGAAGGAAGTAGAAGGAAGAAGAAGAAAAAAGGATGAGGAGGAGAGGTGCCGCTCAGATTGGATGGGAAGAAGGAAAACGGCAGGAGGGGGTTAGGAGGTGGTGAGGGGGTGCAAAAAAAAAAAAAAGGAAACGAAAAGAGGTGCAAAAAGAGAGAACAGGGCTTTCTCTGTGTTTTGGTTGGAGAGGAACCCAATGGGGAAAAAGGAGAGAGAAGGAGCGAGGGGTTAAGGGAAGGAGAAGAGGAGCTGATACTTTGAGTCACGCGAAGGGGACGCAGGAGAGGAGAGGGGGGGGAAAGAGGGAGGGGAGGAAAAAGGAAATGAAAGGGTGGAAGGGAGAGTGTAAGTCATAGAGTTGGGAGAAAGAGTTAGATGGGGCACAGAACATTAGGAGTGCAATGAGATATAGAGAGTGAGGGGCGAGAGAGAGATTTATAGAGGTGTAGAGAGAGGGACAGGACAGAAAGAGTGATGTGTAGAGAGAGAG